GGTGTACCTAATAAAGTGGCCGGTGAGTGTAGCTTTCAGCATTAATGGAGCCTTCATAGATGTAACATTATCCATGCTATGGGCAGTAATACACTCCCATACCATCAGAGAGGCAAATTCACAAAGTTGAGAACTTCGCCTCGTGCTTGTTGCGAACAGCTGAGCCTTTCAGGAATGCACCCTTCATACCCAGTCATGACACTCACCTGTTTCCAATGAACCTGTTCATATGTGGAATGATCCAAACAAGTGTTTTGTCATTCCTTAAGTTTCTGTTGCTCCTGTCCCAGATTATTTCAGTGATTGACTCAGACATGGTTCCATAAAGTGAATCAGATAAACCAGCTCTACTTAACATGGATATAGGACTGCTTGAATGGATTATTGTGATTGGCTTATAAGTAAAATATCCCCCACATGGGGGAGTTCTTATGATTAGCTGAAACAAGGAAGATTTCTAATTGGTGCCTAATCATTCCCTGTTCAAAAAAGGCCAAGTCAGGGAGTCTCAAAATTCCCACACAAATGTAGTGAATTTCACAGAACGCTGTAAATCANCTGTTTCTTTATATGAAAATTGTAAATGTAAAGAGGGAGCCTGTAAATTTTCTAAAGGTGTAAACCTCCTCCTGTGAGAGATCACATTTGTGGCCCAAACATAATCTGAAGATATGAACAAATCCAACCCATTAACTCCTGGCTGATGTCAGTCAGGAACTGACCCTGTGCTGATCTGTTGAGATAACGTAAGGTGCAGCATCTGAGTCTGATCCTAAACTAATCTGTTGGAAATACAAACTTTAGGCTCAACTATTTTAACTCACCTGGGACGAGAACATCAGCATATTCTGGTCAGACTCATGGCCATGAATCTGACTCCACAGAGCTGCATTTCTGTTGTGCGAGTCTTAAATCCTGATCCTTGTCAATTTCAACCAGTGTGAGAGAGACTGGAGGTACGTTTTTTTTTTTCATAAATAGGAAATTTATAAATCACAAGCTTATACAGAAAATGGTCTTCCTTCAAAAGACACGTTTTCTAGTCACAATTTGAATTTTTGTCTTTTATTCTTTTAGATTATAACAAAAATATGCAWCGTGTACCTGAACTATACTTTTAAAAATATGTTACTTTTAATAAAGGCTTGCTTTGAAGAACTTGATCTAAAAAGTGATTCCYGTCTTGTTGGATCTACGTTTCTTTTCAAATGTACTGGTATCTAGTAGTATTGTCTGTAAAGAATGCACGAGCTGAGTTAAATTAGGTTTCTTTGAATATTCTGCTGTCCATCTTAATGCCTCAGAGAGCAGTGACAGAAGGCAGCTGGGTCCTTCAGCAGCCTTTCTGGATAAATAATAATGATCGAAAACCTCACAATGGTCACTAAAATAATTTAAAACTGATAAAAGTAATGATATAAAAAGATAAAACTTCATCAGTGAAAATCCCACATTACTTTTGAATTRTGGTTCAACAGAATCATTTAAAAAAGCAAACTAATTAAACAGGCCAGAACAAAAATAACCTGTAACTCAACATTTTGTTGCACAAGCGTTTGAGTCAATCACTGCAATCAAACGATTCCTGTAACTGTCAATGAGGCTTCTGCACTTCATGAACAAACTGCTCCAGTTGTCTCAGGTTTGAAGGTGTCTTTTTCCAGACGGCATGTTTCATCTCCTTCCAAAGATGCTCAATAGGATTTAGGTCAGGATCATAGAAGCCACTTCAGTATAGTCCAATGATTTCCTCTTAGACATTCTTGGTGTTTTTATCTGTGTTTTGGGTCATTATCCTGTTGAAGACCTGTGACTGAGACCAAGCTTTCTAAAACATTTTTCTCCAGAATGCCTTAAAAGTCTTGARTTTTACCCTGCACAGATTAAAGACATGCAGTACAACAGCCCAGMACATAATCGAGCCTCCTCCATGACGTACTATGTGTTCTTTTCTGCTTTCATTTCTGGGTCTCTGAACGTAGTCGATGCAACTTGTTGCCAGAAAATTGCAGTTTTGTCTCATCTGTCACCAAATGTTGACCATTAATGCAGTTTAACACTGATGCCTTGACTTTGAAGTTCACCTTTAATCTCTTTARAAGTTTTTCTGGGCTCTTTTGTTACCATTCATATTATCCTTCTCGTTGATTTGTCATCAGTTTTCCTCCTGCGGCTACGTCCAGGGAGGTTGGCTACAGTTCCATGAATCTTAAATTTATGAATAATATGTGCAGCTGTAGYCACAGGAACATCAAGCTGCTTGGAGATGGTCTTATAACCTTTACCTTTAACATGCTTGTGTATAATTTTCTTTCTAATCTCCTGAGACAACTCTGTCCTTGGCTTCCTGTGATCCATGCTCAGTGTGGTGTACAACATGTCACCAAACAGCACAGTGGCTACTTGTCATCCTTTAACCCTTCTGCTGTCTCACTCATGTTTGGTGTGGCGGGGTCCTCCTGACCCCCACATGATAAGGCAGTGGTTGGTGGTGGTGGTGGGGCGGTAGGTGGTGTTCATGGGGGCCTGGCTGGCTTCCCAAGAGACAGCTATGACTTTTATTTGCTAGCTTTGTTATTTGCTGCAGAGAAGCTTAAAGACACATGTAAATGCTAATTAGAGGGCACACCTTATTTAATCCGTCCCTGTGGTCGAATTATTTTCTATCTTTTCTAAGGTTTGTGTTCCATTGATCTATATTACTGGWTTGGGCATCATGTGACCTGGGCCTGTTATGCAAAGGGGATTTTTATGCACTGGCCTAATAAGTGTACAAAAAGCACTAATGTTTTATGCATATTATGCATATTTAACCAAAATAAATTATTTCAACTGTAGGACCTGTATGCTAACATTTAAAAAGCTTCTGTTCATGTTTTATCTTGTTTAGAACCAATTATCTGTTGTCAAATATATTATWTACTATTTAACCAGTAAAATATGGGCTTTTTATGGACTATTGACTATTTAGATCACTTATGACAGACAGTAATGATTGAGCATCATTAACACAAAATAATACAGCCCTTGTCATCAAACAGCATGAATAACTGTATTGTGTAGTTTTGCAATTCTATTATTTTATTGAAGAAAAAATGGTTGTTTTAAACATAGATGGTTATAAATGTATATTAATATTCGTTTATATTCCATCTATCCATCTGTATAAACACACACATATATTTGAAAGATAAATTTTKTGCATTTATTTTAAACATCTAAAGCTCAGGTCTAATTCATGATTATATGCATGACTATCCAACTGGTCAGCACGCATAAACTAAATCACAAAAAACCCATGTGAACCAAAATGATTATTTTAAGCCACAGTTAAGTCGTTTAAATTAGTTTAGCTTTATTTTGAGCCATAATTTATAAAAATCGAGCAAGAAATAAGAACTTTATAAGAGTTTTGCTTCAGGATGGTGCCTCACAGTCTGTTGATATCCATTCCTCTTCAGTAGCAGAGCTGCAGTGGGCCAACGTCTGTCTRCACTAACTGGTTACATGCTATAGATCACTGGTGCCATCATTTTTGTCCACACTTGTTTTATTAGTTGGATTTTTTAAATTCATTTTGTTGAACCACAACTCAAAAGGAATGTGTGATTTTCAGCGCTTAGGTTTTAGTGCAATTTTTTTTGGTAGTATTACTTGTGTCTGTTTCAGTTATTTCAGTCACCAGGTTTTTTTTGGTCATTAATAGAGGGGTACCAACAGTTCTGTCCATGTGTGTAGGCACCCATTTGCAGCTTCTCAGCCTTGTCGCAGTGTTTTAATTTGTAACTGCCTACTGTTATAGTAAGTAAAGTGGCTTTATATCGCCCAGAAAGAGCCGGATCAATGACAGGTGAAGCTGCAGGTTAGTGCTGACTAAAAGGAGCAAAATTATTTATTTTGGAAAAAAAATTCTATTTTTAATGCATGTGTCTGCAGTATTTCTTGTTATGGTTAACTCTGCATGGTGGTCTGCTTTCTATTACAAAATATTCTGCTGGAACAAAAACCTAATGCATTTTTAACTATTTTTTTATATTTCTAAAACTGCTGAATTTAAATCTTTATATCACAAGTTTCATTCTGCTTCTGTTGCTTAAAGCTGAGAAAGATTGTAAGAATATTGGGATCATGTTGAAATGGTAAATGGACTGTACTTGTACCTGTAGTAGCTCTTTTCTACCCAACCAGAATACTCAAAGCTCTTTACAATCTGTGCCCTCATTTACCCATTCACACAGCACTCTGTAGATCATCTATGGAGACTAATCAGTGCTTTAATCACATTCATACACTGATGGGACTCATCAGAGGCAGTGGGGGTTCAGTGTTTTACCCAGGAACACTTGGACATGTGACTGAACAGTGGGGAATTGAACTSTCAACTCTGCATTAGAGGACTCCCCTAACCACTCAGCCACAGCCAGGGAACTGTTTAACATCTCAAAAATAAACCTCTCTGACATCTGAAAATGCTGGAAGAAGCTCCAAAACCATCTGAATAGACCAAGTTGTGACAGAAACACAAACTGTTTAATAAAAAATGGAACATGGACTTGTTCTGCTAAACAGAAGGTTTTCAATGACTCTCTTTTGACCCTCTTTTTTTCTATTGGTCTTTATACCTAGACTACACTCCAGTCTAGGGAGGAAAAACAATACAGGAACCAGATCAGGCTACTGATTCTGGTCCATGTCTGACAGGACCACAGGAAACTTTTTCCAGTTGGCAGACCCTCCTTTCAGGTACCAACTCCTGAAGTCAAGCTTCACTGAGAACATTCTTCTGCAGCTTCAAGTCAGGAACAACCATGATTGTAGGAGGTCTTGCTGTGGGTGGAGTTTGCCCTAACCATGATTGGTTGAATTGACTTGTCTTTTGGGGCAACTTAAAAGATGAGGTAATACTAATAGTAAACTAATGAATTATTGACTATGTCAGGGGTCTGCAACCTTTACAATCCAAAGAGCCATTTCTGCTCCTTGTCTCRCTAATAAAATGTGTCCAGAGCCACAAAACAAGCTACAACTGTGATCACCAACTGGTGGTCAGTGGGCCCTTTTGAGTCCCTTTCAGGAACATTTACGGCCAGTGGAGGTGACATTATGAAAAAAATCTATTGTGAATTTTATCATTTATTGTTTTTACACATCAGGACAAATGAAAAGATCATGCACAACCAGACCAAAAGATCATGTAAACAAGAAAAATACTGTATATAGTTTACACCGAATTTCATAAAAACTAGCACAACTGAACTATTCTGGCATATTATTTTCTAATTCTTATTATGAAATAAATCTTCAAATTATTTAAAGGTAATTCTGATGGATTTGAGAGAAAGATCATAGAAAGAAGTTGGATTATTTAAGTAAACAACAAGATAGCATGAACTAATCAACAGGTTTTACTTTTTGTATTAGTAGTACTAATCACATATTTGCATACAAATTGAGTTATTTTGTGAGTATAAAAAACAAACAAAAATTATTCTGTTCTTTTTGGTCACATTTTCATGTGGCCCCAGAGCAGCAGATTGCAGAACCCTGTAGTTTAAAACAGAACAGTGACCAAAATAAAAAATATTGTGAGCATGTCAATATAATTTATTGACTTCAAATTTTGTGCGGCAAGCACCTTCCTGTCTCAAGTTATGGTTAATAATCATTTTTAGAGATATTTTGTCATGTTGGTTAGCGCAAACTCCGCCCACAGAACAGTATGTACTGCACAGACCCCTACTTGTTTTTGTTTTTTCCCCAGATTTGTTCCCTTCAGGACCATTTGAACTTTCCATAATCCATTCAAGTCTACCTGGACCCCTCAGGGTCAATCAAATCCTCTTCAGTCTGTTCAGTCAAATTCCACTGGACAGGTTGGAACTCTTAGGCTTTGTCAGACAAGTGTGGTTACACTCCTCAGGACCCATCAGGACCCCTCTAATCTGAGTATGTGAGTGTCGATGTACAGCTAGGAAACTTTTGTAAGATGTAAGGAGGTGATGGTACTGAGTCCAGCAGGAGCAGATTTTAATGATTTCAAACACATTCTGAGCAGTAAATTTTATATCAAGTGCCAATTAAAACAATATGGAGGAAAACAGAAGCTTTCTCATACAGAGAAACTGACAACCAAATGTCTTAAAAAAAGAAAAACAAAATGTGGGGGTTGTGCATGAATATGAATGTTGATCCGGTTGGAGTGTTAGCTGGAAACCAACTTTTACTTTCAGTGCAATTCTACAAATGAGTGGAGATACATAAGGCAGATATAGTTTAGTCAGGGTCCCAGCTACAGCTTTAATTCTGTCGTAATTTAAACATCAACTCTGTGACTTTGGGGACAAAAGAAAGAAAACACAGATGGTCCTGTTGATCCAAAAGTCTGATGGATGTTTATAAGGAAAAACTACCAGAAACCATCTAACTCAGTGACAGCAGCCTTTCTGTTTCCATTTTCACCTTAAGAAAGAGTAAAATGTTAGTGAAGGCCCGAAGATCTGGAGCTCAGGAGGAAGAAGAGGAGGCTGCCCGATCCACAGAATCCTGGAGAGTGGGGAGCAAACCTGAGGCTGTGTCAACCTGCTGTCAGGCTGACAGATCCAGGGCTGCAGGGAGAAAAGGTAAGGGGAAATAAAAGAGTGAACAAGCATGTTGGTTAGAAGAGCAGGAGAATGGGGAGCCGTGTCAATGTGATTAGTCCATTGGCCGCTTTTCTCCGTGTTTCTTTGTAAACTCTTCGGCGTTCTTCAAGAATTTTTTACGGTCCTTTGAGTACTCTTCTGCTAAGTCTGCCCTCAGAGGGTGTTCAGGCTGGGGGTCATTCACCAAAGCAATCAGGGACTGGATAACTGAAAATCAAAAACAACAAACAGTAAGGTCTTGTCCACATGGGAACATTTTTATTCCCCTAATGATCTTTTTTWAATTTCCTTTTAAATACATGTTTCTACAAATGTTTTCATCTGAATAAATGCAGTAAATGACTGAATGTCAGTAACTATGTCAGGCCTTTATGTGACAATGTACTGCTGCCACAGAAACACCAGAATACACCAAAAACAGGAAACAATACATCAAGAAGGATCATAAAATTTAGAAAGAAAAGAGTGGCAAGGGCCAACGTTTTTATGGACTTTAATTTGTGTCATATTCAAACAAAAGATCCAGAGTTTGACAAATACCAACAGAGGCTATTTAAACAAACATTTCTGGAAATGAAGAAATAGCATTTTAAAACACATAGAGGGGGTATAAATCATTTCTCCCTCCCGCTGTACGGCATGTGTAGCAGGGCTGTACAGTGAGATGTGCAACGAAAAAAAAAATGTTTTAAATTATGATTCTACAGAGCACTTATGTTGAGATGTTTACATTAAAATATTCAGGTCATAAAAACACTTTAAATATTTGTAGGCAAGACATAACTTGTACAATTCTGGTTCAAATAACTATGTTTACTAGTAATGTATAAAGCTCATAAACACAAATTTGCTTCAAATATTCAGTTCAGATTTGTTAAGAGACAAACTCATAACCTTAAGGGAATGGAGATTTGTTTTAAACTATTTACAAAAACTTTGAAGGGGCGATGTAATGTAATAATTTGTGGAATAGTGTTAATAGCATTAAAGATTAAGTCAAATTTGTTGGCAATTTGTGACACCATTGAGTAGTATTAAGTTAAAATAAGATAAGATATATGACGTTTTTGGTTTTAATTATAATTTTTGTAAATTTGGATATATTAGTTCACAATGCCCGCCTGACAAAGGAGTTCTTCYAAGAGAATAACATCACTCTTTTGGACCATCCTGCATGTTCCCCRGATCTAAACCCAACTGAGAACATTTGGGGATGGATGACAAGGGAAGTTTACAAAAATGGACATCAGTTCCAGACAGTGGATG